GAACTTTTTATTGTTTTCCATGAACCGTGAGTAGATCCACGGCTGTGGGTTAGGGATTCGTTTGTGTTTTGGGTATGTTTGAACCCTAACTTGGTTGCGATTTGGATTTGTTTCGGTTTTTCCAATACCTATGATCATCGCTATGATCATCAATCACACATCATACTAGTCTTAGTATATCATTATTCCCACAATGATACATGACTAGGGAGTTTAGATTTCATAACATATCAAGTATGCACAATACGTAATGAATCAAACAGTCATCCATAAACTCATAGAAAGTGTCAATACATCAAATGTATCAATAAATAAAGCTCGCAAAAACAGTATATCATAGAGCACTAAACCAATAATCTCTCACTTGCTCTAATCAAGGACTGCTAAACATCTAATGCTCATATCCCTAACATGACCCTCATGCTTTGACGAAGGGAGAGGCTTCGTCAACGGATCGGCAATGTTGTCATATGTCGACACTCTGCAAATGTGCACGTCTCCTCTGTCTATGATCTCTCTGATAAGGTGAAATCATTTGAGTATGTGTTTGGATCGTTGATGGGATCTGGGTTCTTTCGCTTGTGCGATCGCTCCATTGTTGTCACAATACAAAACAATGGGGCTATCAACACTGGGAATGACACCCAAGTCTCCAACAAACTTCATGATCCAAACAGCTTCCTTTGTTGTGTCCGACGGTGCAATATACTCAGCTTCTGTCGTAAAATCTTCAACGGTCACTTGCCTAGAACTCTTCCAGGTAACAGCGCCTCCGTTCAAGCAGAAAACATAACCAAACTGCGATTTGTAGTCATCTGGGTCTGACCGAAACTAGCATCAGTGTAACCCTTTACAAGAGCTCGTCTTTCGACCCACCGTATACCAAGAACACATCCTTAGTTCTTCTCAAGTACTTCAGGATGTTCTTGACGGTGATTCAGTGTGACTCACCTGTGCGACAGAAATGAATTCACCAATTTGCGACAGATTACCGACCTTAGCCATCTGTCGTGTATTACCGACCGATAACCTACAGATCTGTCGGTCGCAACTTTGCGACAGAATCACGACCACACAGTTTTTGCGACAACGATTTAGCGACCGACATCTATCGGTCGTAATCGGTCGCAAGTATTTTTTACCGACCGATTCTTCTTCATGGTGCGACAGATTTTTCGGTCGCAAATTACAGTTTTTCTTGTAGTGTACGGGCGAAAAGGTCTCATCATAGTCAATACCATGAATCTGACGGAATCCTTTCGCCACAAGTCGTGCCTTATACGTGTGCACGTTGCCATCCATGTCGGTCTTCTTCTTGAAGATCCACTTGCATCCGATGGGTTTTATCCCTTCAGATGCATCAACCAGAGTCCATACTTGGTTGTCTGACATGGATTGCATCTCGGACTTCATAGCCTCGCGCCACTTCTCGGAGTCCGGACTCGCCATAGCCTCTGGGTATGTGGTAGGCTCGTCATGTTCTAATAACATGAGTTCCTCATTCCCAGTCACAAGAAATCCATATCTCGTTGGCTCTTGGCGAACCCTGCTTGATCTCCGAGGTTCACTCGTCAAAGGTTGAGTCACAACGGGCAGTGAAACAGGTTGAACTTCTTCAACTTGCTCACTCGGCTCAGCGTCTACTTGCTGCTCTCGAACTTCCTCAAGTTCGATCCTACTCCCACTGACTCTTTTGGAGACGAACTCTCGCTCCATAAAAGTCGCATGCCT